AAAAAGTAGAAGAGGTAGAAGAAGAAACCAACAACACAGGCTCAGTTTCAACCGAAAAGTGGAAGCAAGTTTTGCGTTGTTTGTTTGGTAATGGGTGTCTCTGGTTGAAGTCAGTGCTGGGGCTCAGTGTCTTGTTTCATTTCTTGAGGTGCATATCTCAGATTTCAAGTTTGCTGTAACTGAAAGGCATAGATAGTCCTCTCAACCCTCACTCAGCTGTTCACCTGTCCTCGTTCTTCTGGCAGATTCTGCTCAAGATTCCAAATCTAAAGTTGCACAGGTGAGGGTGGATCTTGTTTCAAGGTATTCCTTACCTTTCAGGGCTTCCCTTTTCTTCATACTCTTCTCATACAGTCTTCTAACGTTTACTCAAATATTTTTGCCACACCATTAGTCTCACCTGTCCAATTTTAGACCCATGTTTTCATCCCAGATGTCTCATCCGAGCCGTCTGGGAACCATTACAACTTTAACAACTCGGGCTCTCTTTCCCTCCATTGTTCCAACCCATTATCTATACCGCCATCCCATCTTCCCCACATTTACCTCCTCCAGGCGAAGGCTGTTTTGTCTACTTCAAAGATGTGATTATCCAGAGAGTTGGCGCTGTCACTTTGTGTGGTAGCCTTCATGCCGATTTATGTGTGCCACACCTGTTGATGGAGGCACGTTTGGCAGGGGTGTTTGAAAAGAGCTCATTCAAAATAAACATGCGACATTTCATTTGAAATACACAGTTTTAGTTATGAAAGACATGCCAGACACGGTTAAGTTGATTATAAATTTCTTAGAAATGTGTGCAAGCAACACTTATTTTCACATTTGTTCCACATTTACAACTCGCAGTTTTTATCCAGACTCACCAGCTTGTGTAACCATTATGTTATCCGATAGTATTGCAGTCTGATTGTATACTGTACATATTATACCCATATGTCTTGTAGGCTCCTTGTTTGGAATACTGTAGTAGAGTCATAAACACTTCTTTGTGGTTGGATATACGTTACCACATGCTGTCTAACTATGATTTCTTAGTAAAGAAACTTGTCTTCTCAATGTGTTAACTACTATGTCAGAAAGTCCAAATAGATATATATATATTTGATTAGCTACAAGTATTTAGGTTTATGGACTTGAAAGGGGTGGTGATTTATAAAATTATATTCTTTCATGTAATGCAATCTTTTAGTCAGACCTTTTTATTAAAGGTTGTCGGTGTGTAAATTTATGACTAACACCCAAATACAGGTCTTACTGTGCAATAGATCCCGCAGAGTTATTCCTTTTCTTTAGTCAAGTCTAGACTGAAGCTCACAGTTTATTCTGGCTTCAGATTCAGTCTATTATCATGTCTCTGTTCAAGATGCCTACAAACATTCCTTTTTTGTCTTCAGAGAAGATACCGTCTAAATAAAGGTTGAATGAATATTAAAGGTGGAGAGAAGCAGAATATGTTTGTAGTGTAAGGAAGAAGCAGATAAAACTAATGGATGGATAGAACAACATACAGTGTCAATGCTCCTTGGAAAATGTCGAGGTGGGTGAGAACATTGAGATTATATATGGTTTTTAGGAAGTAAAAATCAACTTTCTGATTTGATTTGCCATGTTTGCTTATGAGCAAATGTAAAGACCATGGGAGGGTTTCCAACAATATTTTTTTTCTGTTTTACCAAACTAACTGTTTTGGATGCAAAGCCTATTTATGAATAGCTTTTAGTCATGTTGTAAGGAAGTTGCCACTTTTGACTTAACCCTCCGGCTGCCACTGGGTAAAATGACCCAAGAAGCCTTAATATGAACGCTGAGGTCTCACAGGTCATTTTGACTCCAGGGCAGCTGGGGAGACAAAAACAAGTTTGAGGGATTTTCAGTTCATACCTGATCTATTGTAGCATTAGCATTTTTTCTGTGTGCTATACAGTGACTTTAGACTTACACTTTTTGTAATCCAGAAATAATTTGCCACAAAACAGACTCCTCATGGACAATATTCCTAGCATTGGGAGGAACTAAATCATTTGCGCTAGACTGTGCTTGAGGGCCCATGCAGTGTTGCAATACCAGATAAAAGACTCAAGGATTCGCTCCATGAATCATGCACGTCGTATTAGCAAGAACATAGTTAGCTCCTGAGCTACATTATCTGGGTTAGCCCATGTAGGCCTACAGGGCTTAATTTGAGCCGGATCTTGCCAGAACTGGATCCGGGAACTCTCCTATTTTTGATAGGGTGCATTCCAGCAACTGTTAGCTTGGATCCAGTAACTTTCAGGCTTACTAATAATAAAGTTATGAACAAATATTTCTGCCTTGAGCGAGTAAAACTTATATTGGATATGTAAACTGAAAACAATTATATAAACACTAATTTTAAACATAACAAGCTTCCTCATATCACATCAGGGCTGTCACTTCGCATTTCCGCTTCCACTCTTAAAAAAATCACTACTCCTAAAAGTTCAAAGTCATGGGCAATTTTATTAAAAAACACAAAAATATAATTAAACGTTTTGCGCTACGTTTAAGTTCCTGTGCGTTTGTCAACAATTGGATGTGTGAATAACTGCAGGAGTTATCTGAACTTTCACTGAACTGCAGGAAAGAGATGATGATCTCGGCTCATAAAGCTCTTTGTCATGCAGTCAGAGCATTTGAAGTGATGTTGTAGTGACCAGGGTGCTTTCCTGAATTGAGTGAGGATTGAGAGCAACTCTTTTCTAAGCCAGTGACAAAGTGCTAAATATTAGGCAGTTTATATAAATAAACTGAAATGAATTGAAACTGAATTGCATGTGAATGGAACTTTTCCCAGATGAATCTGATCTGCACTCCATACCGAGCTTCTCTGCACACTACCACCATCTTTGACCTGCTCTTTCATAATGTTGTCGGACCTCCTTTGACCAAGTTTAATCTGGTCCTTTATGTTTCGTGGGTGGCTACAGGATGCAGGTCTGCTACTGAGACGGAGCTAGGTGCAGAGCAGGGAGGAGGGTGAGGAGGCGCACCTGCCTGCGGTGTGGGATAAACTAAACAACTTGTAGATAAGAAATGATCCTGCACTAATACACTCAGAAACCACACATAATGTGTTTATTTTAGTCTCTTTTGGGGGTTGCTCTGGCACCCCTAAATTTTAACTCAACACCACGGTTTATTTGTATTTACTTTTTTCTTTTTTTTTAAGGTACACTGTTTTTACGTTGAACGTGTCAGCTAGCTGTGCGCAGCATCCTGTTTGTATCCACTTCACATGAACAAATTTCCACCACATGGCCACTTTATAGACGACCTGACTCCAGATGGGTGGCCTGTTGATGAGAGAGGAACACACACGGAGCATCCACATGGACTCAAACGTATTTACATGCATAGATTTGCCAAATTGCCCCTGAATATACAGACTGACATGCATTAGTCTTCATATGTCACTTTAACATGGAAAAGAACCTCGTGTAATTTCACGTGTGCTTACATAGAGCCTTTAGTGCTCCTACATAACACAGAGCTTCAGACCATCACATGTACACAGAGAGGAATAAACAGATGAGAAATGTCGGAGCCCCAAACACAGCTGGTTAGTCTCCTGTGGTGGATGTCTGGGTCACAGATTGGGATGAAGGAGAGGAAGGGAGAGGCCCGTGAGGAAGAGTCTGACAAGAAGAAATACAAAACTGATGGGAGATAGTAAAGAAGAGGAAAGAGATAAAACAAACTTCTATTTCCTTTTTTGGTCACCTCTCCTTTCTTGACCATTCTTTATTTTTGTAAACAGATGCATTAAAGTAATTTCTCAGCATCAAGATTAAACCCTAGTAAAAATTATTTTTGGGGTCCAAAGGCCTCTCCAAACCAGATTTCACAGTTCCAGCTGGTGTCACTCAGGTTCATTAAAAAGTTAAGGAGCTCCTTTAAGCGATCAGTGCAATGACGGTGATTGACAAGCGTTAAAATAAACGTTGCTCTTCTTTAGGTTCACGCGGTGCGATGACAAACTGATTGACACAGTGCGGATTAAACACATTCCTAAATCTGACTGAGAGACAAAACATGACAGGTCTTTTTTTTTTTTAAACCTTGGATGTTCTATTGATTCTTCTAATATAATTTGGCCACACTACATTTTACATCAAAGTGGATCACATGACTAAACGCAATGGGAAAAGATATTCAGCAGAGTTTTCCACATTCAGCTCTGTCTTCTTTTTGCTCCATCAGTTTATGCTTGCATCACATTTATGAGTCCTGGACATCTAACACAATTTTTGTTTCTGCTTCCATTTTTTAATGAGTTCAATTCAAAGATCTAAGACTTTATAATGTACACAATAGGCTTTTTTCCTCTTGAATATTGTTCACAAATGTATGTAAATCTGTGTTAGTGAGCACTTCTCCTTTGCAGAGATAATCCAGCCACCTCACAGCTGTGGTGTATCAAGGTGCTGATATAGATAGCATGATTATTGCACAGGTGTGCCTTAGGCTGACCACAATGAAAGGTCACTCTAAAAATATTAAGTTTTACTGTATTGGGGGTCCGGAGGTGTGTGCGTCAGAAAACCAGTCAGTATCTGGTGTGACCACCATTTCCCTCACGCAGTGCAACACATCTCCTTCATATAGAGTTGATCTGTTTGCCTGTGGAATGTTGGACCACTTCTCTTCAATGGCTATGTAGTTCTGGATGTTATCAGGAACTGGAACACGCTGTCGTATACACTGATCCAGAGCATCTCAAACATGCTCAATGTCTGGTGAATATGATGGCCATGCAAGAACTGGGATGTTTCCAGCTTCCAGGAATTGTGTAAAGATCCTTGTGACATGGGGCTGTGCATTATCTTGCTGCAACATGAGGTGATGATGGTACATGGTACAACAATGGGCCTCTGGAGCTTGTCACCATATCTCTGTTCATTCAAAATGCCATCAATAAAATGCACCTGTGTTCGTTGTCCATAACATGCGCCTGCCCATACCATAACCCCACCGCCAGCATGGGCCACTCGATTCACAAGGTTGACGTCAGCAAGCCTCTCATCTACACATCGCCATACACACAGCCTGCCATCTACCCTGTACAATCAGGATTAATCCATGAAGAGAACCTCTCTCCAACCTGCCATATGCCATCAAATGTGAGCATTTGCCCACTCATGTTGGTTATGATGATGAACTACAGTCAGGTGGAGACCCCGCTGAAGATGATGAACATGCAGATGTTTCACTGGGACCGTTACTGACAATTGATGCAGAAAATCATTGGTTTTGCAAAGAGATTGTTGCAGCAGCTGTCTGGGTGGCTGGTCTCAGATGATCTTGGAGGTGAAGATGCTAAATGTGGAGTCCCTGGGCTGGTGTGGTTACACGTGGTCTGCGGTGGTGAGGCCAGTTGGATGTACTGCCAAATTCTCTGAAACGCCTTTGGAGATGACTTATGATAGAGAAGTGAACATTCAAATCACGGACAACAGCTCTGGTAGACATTCCTACAGTCTGCATGCCAGTTGTACGCTCCCCCAAAATTAGCAACGTCTGTGACATTGTGCTGTGATCAAACTGCACATTTTAGAGTGGCCTTTTATTGTGGTCAGCCTAAGACACCTGTGCAATAATCATGCTGTCTAGTCAGCATCTTGATTGATATACCACATCTGTTAGGTGGATGGATTATCTCGGCTAAGGAGAAGTGCTCACTAACAGATTTATACAAATTTGTGAACAATATTTGAGAAAAAAAGGCCTGTTGTGTACAGAGAACAAGTCTTAGATTAGAGAGTTCAGCTCATAAAAAATGGGAATAAAATTAAAAGTGTTACATTTACATTTTTGTTCAGTATAGACAACAGCTATTCAAACATCCTAAACCAATTTATTAAAATGCAATAGAGTATTGCATATCTCTCACTGCCTTTCATGCCAGTGGTTTAAATAAAGATCGTGTTAGTGTAAACCACGACACAAGTAAAATAATTAGTTGAAGCTAACACTAAACAGCTAACACCTAAGGCGACTGTCACTCGGTCTTCGTCTCCTTCCAGTTAAAGCTGCATTGACCAATCACATCTTGTCATGTACACGCATAGTCAGCCAATAGCATGCCTAATGGACTCTTCGAGACACGCCCACAGCAGACAGGAACAAGCTTGTGACGTTTGTTAGCAGACTTGGCAAAACATAATTTAATGGAAACTTATTCCGCTAAGGGTTTCCAAATTAGCAAAAATGCTAATCCGCTAAACAAAAAAAATTGTTACGCTATTAGTGTTTAGCAGATTAGCGGAACTGTACCCACCACTGCTCATAACGTAAAATGTTACAAGTTCAAACAGTTGTTTCCAATAATTGTGTATATTTGAATCGTTTGCATTACTTAATGGGCATTTACTAAGAAGAGGTACGAAAATCAAAAAATACCAGTACAAAGCAATTTTTATATCGCCAGTTTAAAAACTTTAAAGCATTTTTGTACATTTTTCCATCCCCTTAATCGCAGATTCCTGTCTGCCTGTGAAACCAAGAAACCCCACGTATAATAAAGAGAGAATTCTGTAACATAAGAAAGATGAAGAGCTATAGGTCACCTTAAAGGAAACTTTATCTCATCAGCCACTGTTGTCCCAACAATATAACTCAGTATACCAAATACCGGTAAATGTGAATCTTATCTGGATACCATCAGGAGACACTCAAGGAATCAACAGACAAGTCCAGATGCCAACCGTTCAGACAACCATTAAAGCTAAGAGTGTATGGATTATAGAGGCCTGTAAAACCTCGGAGCTCGACATGTGCTCATGAAAGTGTTTGGACTGTAAAGTATGAGCAAACAGTAGGGACTGACAGGGAATATTAGCTAAAGCTGCATAGCTGGGTAATGCTGAGCTGACAAAACATGAAGGGAGACGATGCGTTACTGAATGAGATGGTTACTGAATATTACAACTGATAATTGATTAACTTTTGGAGCCAGTTCAACATGTCTCCCACAGCCACCTGACCTTAAAAAAACACACAAAGTGATGTTAACTCTTGTCTGTTAGCAAAATATCTCATGAACCAGTGAACAGATTTTAATGAAGCTTTCAAGGAATAATCAAACTTATGGCGCCAACCCAATTCAAGATGGCTACCAGTGATTATAAAGACTTGTGTTTATACTGGAAGGAAAGTCCCAATCTGGTGCTGCACACACTTGTCTAATGGTGCATTTTATTTGTCTTCAGAATCTGTGTTTTAAATAAAAACTCCCTCAAATGTTGAATTCTAGCTCAAAAATTCAGCTGTTCCTGTTCTACCTCAGCCAAAAATCCAATATGGCTGCCATTCCCATAAAAAGTAGGAAAGACTGCAGTAAATTCCCCCCACCCCGACTTTCATTAAATCATAGCCCATTAAATAAGTAGCACATATGGCATTTTACCAGAAACATGAAAAAGCATGTGGCTACAGAGTTTAAATGCGGAGGGATGTTTTGTAATGCTAATCAGAATTAGCATGTTAGCTGATCACACAATTAGCAAAATTGTCTCGTTTTCTGTGTTGGAACTGGAGCAGGGTTAAGTTAGGTGTAACCTCATTCACAGATCTTGTTTCTAACCTGCACAGTCACTGTAATAAAGTCAAAAAGCCAAGTTAGGTGTGTTGTTTTTGACAAAATGTTGTAAAAGTCTTGATGATTGCTTTATTTCTAGCCTAAAATTGACAAAGTGCCCAAGACCATAATTTTCATGATTTTTTTGTCATTGTAACTTCCTTTTGTTTGTGTCTCACGTGCATTTTTTTCAACTGTTAGTAATTTATTATGTTGAGTGTTTTTTTTCCTCAGTGTCTGCTGCCTTTATGTCAAAAGACCTTGCACACATGTTGTGACAGCAGGCAGAAATGCTTTCCCTCGGGGCGATGGCTTATCATCTGTTTCCACATTTAATCCATCAGTTTCGGCTCTGGGTGCGGTCAGGAGTGAAGTGAATGAGGATCAGTGCTCGACATCTCCACCCTTCTCAGGTGAAGGCTGGATTATTATATTTCAGATCAAAGGAATTCAGGAGGAACACAATTCATCAGACCACTATAGTTGGAAAAGACTTGAGGAAGAATTCATGTTTAACAAAACCAAGGAAATAAGCTAACAAAAAATGATCAAGTAAACTCAATTACCTTTCTAACTTAGTCAATTAAATTATATGCTGCCTTTTTTGCTTCTTTGCCCCTTTTGGTAGCCATTTATTAAAACAATTATGAGCAATCAATATCTTACCTGTTGTAGATAATTTTTTGACTAACCTCAACTGGAAGAAATAGCGTTTAATTCTGAACAGACTGACAAGCTAGCATCTAGTCCAAGTGGGACAAAGACCAAACTGGAATGCTGCCATCTTATAACCACTCTAGTCTCAAAGATTTCTAAGCCGTTCTAGAAATGCTATTTTATAAACTTACAGCTTTACCGGTTTGGATTTACAAGATTTTTCCAGCTGCAATAATATGATAATCTTAATAAAAGTCCAGGCTACACCAGAAGTGCCACAGCTAGCTGCTGTTGCATTTAATGCGCTTGATAATAACCGTGAATTTTCATGTAAATAACAGTTAACGGGCAACGGCCCGCCAGCTCCAGACCAAACTTTTGAATTTACTCCAAAGGGTTCAAGAACAGCAATTAATTTAATTTAATGTGGGTGCATTTATTTGGCTGTTTTTGGCATCTTCCTTGGCAACACGTAACAGGATGAGATATCAGAGGTTATAAAATAGTGTTTGCAGGAAAAGCTATGACATTTTTAAGACTGGAGCTGTTTTAGGTCGCTCTGTTCTTGACCCAGCTTGGTAGTACTAGCCTTTAGCTTGTTAGCCTGGTCAGAATTAAACTAAATTACTCCAAACTGAGTGTAAGAGCTATCTACAACAGGTAAGATATGAATTGTTAATAACACCGAACCCCACTCCACAAGGAATGAACAATCCTTTTAAGGAGCCGTTATTAATCCACCACAAAAATAGTCGGGCTTTTATTTTTTAGCTTCTGGTCTTTTTCTTCTGACAGTTCAGTCTGGCCTGTTTCCTGTTCGCCTCCTCTCTGTTGCCCTCCTTCTGTCACTGTGATTAGAGGAGTTGTGGAGATCAGAAGGCAGAAAGCTGAACATCCACCACCGACTTTTCTCCTCCTCCTTTTCTTCTCGCTTCGTGCCAAAATCACCTTCTCTGTGTGCCTTTCACATAATTCCACCTTTGCATGGTGCGTGACAGTATTATTGTATTATTGTATAACTCTGTAAGTAATGTCCACCCTCATCCTTTTTAAGTATTGTAGGAATACGTTTTCCTGCACTTTTTTTAATTGCCTGACAGACCAAGGCCTCAGGACATGGACCAAACGGGGAGGGGACGCTGCTCATGCAGCAAATGTATTTTGTGTCCCCGTGCTGAAGCTGAACTATTTGCCTGCAGACAGTTCTCATCAAACTGGAATGATGCATGTTGTGGTTTAGGCCGACAGCCAGGCCTCATCTCAATTTCACATCCAGTTTGCAACACTTCTCCACAGGTTCAACATTTTTGTCACCTTTTCTCCTCCCAGTACACATCAACACATTGCAGCAATTCAAGTTGAATTATAGATTATATCAGATTGTTAAAGTAAACTGACTTAAAAGCTTCAAGTGTTTGTCATAGTAGGAGTTATTTTTGTAATGTTGCCTGCAGCTTTCTCCAGAGCTTGAAGAGCTCAGAGCAGCTTGAATAAACTCCAGACAAACTGAAACAAAGATCTTAGTTGCTAACATTTAAATGGTTTTAACAGCAGTGGATTGTGTTTATTTAGGCTCTGCTAGTTGCAGCTAATCACAGTGATCAGTGTCTGATCTACTGTACTGTATACCTAAGTTTAAAAAGTACATTTTCAGAATTCATGCAGACAGTGACGATAATGACGTGTATTTAGTTAATATACAAATGTAATATGTTCACAATTAAAGTTGATGATTCCACAGTTTCTCCCTCCCCTACAGCTAAGAGTCTGGGTGTCATCCTCGATAGCAATTTATCTTTTGAATCTCATGTCAATAACATTATCTAA